GAATTATGAACAGTGTCCAGAAAAAATTTTTCCAGAAAATTCAATTTATTATAATGTATTTTAGTCACTGTAACCTGGAATTATGCATATTAACCCTTGAATGTCATTGTCAACTTTTAGCATTATACAAATGTATATCTAGAAAATGATTTTGTGTAGTTTACTCCTTCCACAACAAAAATTTACAAACCTTTTGATCAAAAACTAAAAACAATATCTGAAACTGACTGTATGGTGCAAAGGGATGATGAAATTTAATGAAAATTTAAAAAAAAATGTGAAAATGTTTGCACTGAATGCTGAGCAGGTAAAATATTTGGCATTTGGAAAATTCTTGTTATCCGCAACAATTTGAAGAATTTTGTTTTCTCTAATCAAAATTAATGCATACCATATTTGCTCTATTAGATGTGCATCTATAAAATAAGCAGAAAAAAAAAGACAAAACTCGCCAAATTATCAAAAATATGCTGGTGTATTTAAAGCGAGGAAGTTGTCACCTGCACATGCAACATGCCATAGGGTGTCGTTGTTTACAAATGTCTACCCATAAGCCTTTGCATTTTTAGCATGCATTGTTATCGTCGCTTCGGACTCAATTCATGCTGTTCGCAGGTGACGACTCCTCCACTTTAATATGGTAATCACATAAGCACATCTGCTTGTGAGAGACCAAATAAGGTAAACATTCATGTTTAAATGAAAATTATATTGATACTTTTCGTCGATGCTAATAATATTATAAACAACTTTTTCTGAACTCAGTTTGGATTCCATTTATTATTTATATACTGAGTTTGGTTTTTAATTTGGTTAATATTCTAGGAGAAATGCAAAAGATGTTGAAGACAAGAACTTTACAGTGCCCCGTAATCTGAATATTGAATTAGACACTGCACCAATCACAGTCATTGATGCTATACACCTGCAATATTACACAGAGTTTCAGTGGTTGATGGACTTTTCTGTGTGTGCCCTTACTGTGTATATTATTACTGAGATATACAATGAATCTACTAGACCAAAGGCGGAGTTTAACCTAAGTCTAGTGTGGATTATATTAGTGATTTTATTTGTACTGTATCCTTTTCATATTTTTATAAGGTCAAATGAAATAGTGTGTTTCTAGCTGAGGTAGGGTAGATGGGGGGTATAACTTTTTATATTTATTTTTTTATCTTAATTAATCTTACAATTGTCAATAAGATACTAAGAAATCTCATGGCAAGTCTTTGTGTGTGAGTGTGTTTTTCATATACAAACTTGGTGCCTGCTCAGAGTAGATGCAAGCCCACCTAAATTAGTGGATGTATTATTTCGCATCACAAAACATACTCCATATCGTTCACTGAATGTAGAGTGACAACTAGAATGAATAAATACATATTTACTCTAGCGTCTGATAAAAGCAAAGCTGCCGACATTTCACATGCACGGCCAGGTAGTGATGATGTCAACACAGACTACGTGGCAAGTTTCATTGCAGAACAATTTGCATCTTCTGCAGGAGAGACATCCAGAAAAAAAGATTCGGTATTTGATATTGATAATATTATATAAAGGTGGCCATTCATCTAGTTGTTTTCAGTGGTGCAGCATTTGCTATGTTTATTAACATTGACGACACCTTCTCACTTTGTACTGTAAAAGGGTTAATTATTCACTGGGTTTTAATTTTGCTTATTTGGCTGACTGGAAAATGCACTAAATTAAAACCCAATGAATATGTAAAATTTAGCATAGAACACATTATCTAAATGACAAAACCGTGAATTTAAAACCCACTGAATATGCCTGAAATGGTAAATCAGCGAAATTTAAACCCAGTGAAAATTAGTCATTTTACAGTACTTCAGTCTTGCATGCTACATGTACGTATCATGCCATTGAAACGTATTCTGTGCGTCTTCACCAAATTTATATTTTCAAGTCAGAGAATATTTTGCGAATATTGTGACAGGATTATTTTGTTTTCACATCATTATACACAGTGGGAAGTTATCTCCCATAATGCATTGCATGTAATATTATAAGCTCAACTGGTTTCCCTTAATATATTATATACAGTAGAATTTTATACACTCTGACTGCAGCCTACTTTCGGAGTGAAGACACTGGTGAAATGGCAATGTGTATTACGTTTGGTTTTTTTTTCTTTGTGCTTGCCATGGTGATTCTTATCATTGATGAAGATATCCTGGAATTACAGCTGGACCAAGGTCCGTAAAAATGTATTACCGTACTTATCCGGGTAAGAGCCCATGCCTGGACAAATGCCCCCCCCCCCCACTTTTGACACAATAAAGAAGTTGAGGTCATATCCGGGCACACGCCCAGGGGGTCTTTTTCTACACAAAACAAAAAAAACTATTTTCTATTCGTTGACTGTGGTTGTATTAACAGTTGACATTCTTGAAGTCTGTCGTGATACTTATAAAAATTGTTAATTGCGTAAAACAAGGGGTGAACGCAAAATAGCTGTGACAGCTTTCTACCTTCAGGGCAGCGCGTTCATCGCTGATTTTTTTCAGAATCATAACAGTCAGCAAGTCTATAAAAATAAATATTAAAACAGAAACGGTAGTTCTTTTTGAAATATGTCGTTCGTGGCCCAAAAAAGGGCCGGCCGTTTGGTTTGTGCTTGCTTAGAAACGATTCAAGCAAATCGTATAAGGAGAGCCGCTAAGCAAGTTTCGCACTCGTTCGGCTTTAGCGTCGTCGACAATGAAAACAGTGTTGCAATACTGTAGCAACCCGTACCTGGGGGGGGGGGTGAAATCACGTTATTTTGGCTTTATAAATATTTTGTAGCAGCTTGCGAATCCATAACTGGGGCCAGCAATTTTGCAATGTCACGCCGAAGACTGCCAACTTTTTTTACCATCTTTTATCACTGCTATTGCATTTCTGTCATGAAAACTATTCTTCTGTCGTTGGATAAAAAAAAAACTTCCTATTTCAAGTCCACCACGATATCATATAGTGAGACATTCCAACCGCCGAAACTTGCTGAATGATAACTTTCACCGTGATTAATAAGCGTTGAGTCTGATAAGAAAGCAATGTCACGATTTGAACTTTATGATGAAATACTAGTAGTGATGTCATTCTTAGCCAATCAGTAAAGCAGATGCATAAAGGTCAAAGATGATTGCTAGACTGTAAACAAAAGCAGAGCGACCCTATTTTCCTTGTCTCTTTATTTATGATGAGACATGAATGAAAAGTGCCAAGCTGACAGACTGCGAAATCCGTGGATTAAAAGTGCTAAGTCCAAATTGTGTGGGACGATATCAACGAACTTCAGGAATAAGTTGTAGGGATTTTGTTCGACAGCTACAGTGACGCCGACTCTGACATTTGAGGGTTTCAAGTTTGACGAAGATGGCAAAGTACGTACAAATAAAGATCTGAGAAGTTTTTTCAAACAGCTATGAATTTTTAAAATTTTTACTGTGTAAATTTGTAAATTATTATTAATCTTGCATGACGGTTGATTCGTAAATCATTTTACGCAGTTTATCCCCTGACATTTTAATTCATTTTGAGTTCACGCGTATTGGGCGTGTTTGTCGCCGGGAAAATCCTAATTCAAATGATTTCTCACTGTCGATTTTTATTATTTCTGGTTTATTTGTCACATTATAAGCAATACATTATTTTTGTTTTACTTCTAGTGTTGCATATCGTTCATTTATTTCTGTTGCATGTTTTCATTTGCCGTTCTATTCCCTGCCGCAGTTCGATCTGCCTGTTGTCAATTTTCGCGAATTTTCGTTTTTTTTGCCGGGGATCTCCTGGCAAACGCCCACCCCTTCTTTTTGGCAATTTTCCATGTTCAAGACCCTGGGCTTATACCCGGATAAATACGGTACATGACTTCCATATCATACAGATACAGATACAAATTTGCATGCAAGATTCTCTGTTCACAGATCAAAGATGGAATGTATATTATAAATCAGTTTACGATGTAAAGCATTTTCCATTAGTTTGCAATCATTTCAAAAACATACTCGGAGATCCTCTAAATCTAGCAAGAGTTACTGTAATGTTCAAAATTTTGAAATAAAAATATATGGTCACTGAAAATATATGGCTTTCCAATAAACGATTGGAAAAAAGTTAGTACATGTTTTGAGTAGTTTTCAATTGGTTTCTGTGGCTGAAACATTCTATCATATCTCAAATTTTGTTTGGTGACCTATGCTAAAAAAATTATATGTTATGAGGGCTACACAAGGCTGTCATGAAAAATTGGAGAAATTTGAATATAAGTATCCACAAGTTATCCATGGAATAATGTGTTTACATGGATTTCTATGAAAAATGATCCAAAATGGCCACTTTTTGATTATTTTTCATTATGATGTTTTCATGAAAACATGCCCTTCTTTCTTCATAAAAACTTTGAATATGAATGACATGTGAGTATGTGAATCATCACACAACAATTTTTGAATGACTTACGGCGATCATTTTTTTCTGTGATTTAATGGTAGTGAACTACCAGTACTTTAAGATTAGTCTGCGATGCACAGCAGACTCCTTGATTTGTTGCCTGTACAACCATTATATCCCTGTGCTTTTTAGTCCCCGTTCGGACACAGTCCGTAAACGGGGACTTATGTTTTGACCTCTGTGTGTCCGTGCTTGCGTGCGTCTATGCGTGCGTTCGGCCCTGTATCTTAGAAATACTGGACCAATCACAATCAAACTTCACACATACATCATACATGATATTATACATATGCACGTCAATTTGTTTCATGATCTGATTCAAGATGGCTGAATGGCGGCCATTTTTGTGCTAAAAAATCCTAAAAATCAACCATTTCTCGGCTGTTTACAGATCGATTTTGTTCAAACTTGGTATATACATTAGACATTATGGGACCTTGATGTGGTTCTCGTGCCATATCTCTGACTTGCTTTCACTGATTATGTTCAAATTTTAAATATTCATTATACATCATGTCATAGATAGACAGATATATTGGTTTGACGATCCTATTCAAAATGGCCAAATGGTGGCCTTTTTTGTGCTAAACAATCATCAAATATCAAGCATTTCTGACATTTATGGATGGATTTCGTTCAAACTTGGTACATATATTAGACATTACAGGTTCCTGATGCACATCATTTATTTTTCAGATCGGACTCAAAATGGCTGTCTGGCGGCCATTTTGTTTTAATGAATGGGCTTCTAGACCCATATCTCCGACTTGTTTTGACTGATATTATTTTCAAATTTTAAATATTCATTATACATCATGTCATAGATAAACAGATATATTGGTTTGACTATCCTATTCAAAATGGCCAAATGGTGGCTTTTTTTGTGCTAAACAATCATCAAATATCAAGCATTTCTGACATTTATGGGTGGATTTCGTTCAAACTTGGTACATACATTAAACATTACGGGTTCCTGATGCTCGTCATTTTATTTTTCAGATTGGATTCAAAATGGCTGACTGACAGCCATTTTGTTTTAATGATTGGGCTTCTAGAGCCATATCTCTTAAATGCTTTGACATATTATATTTAAATTTTATATATTCGTTATACATCATGTTATATATATACATGTATTCAAAATGGCTGATTTTGAATGCTGTTCCAGAGCAGTATCTCTCAATGTGGACAAGTACTTGTTTGATGATCAGATACAAATGTCAATCATTTTAATGTTAAAAAAATCATATTCCTGACATGGTTATATTCCAGCTATATTACTATAAACAAAACTATATATCTTAAATTTGATAACTAACGGGGACTGTGCCATGCATGGCTTGTAAGTCTCTATTATGACGAAGTCCACAAATGGGACTTATGATTTCATCTTTATGTGATCGTTCCTGTGTCCATCAGCATCTGTATCTTGGACATATCTTGATCAATCATATTCATGTACTTCTCACATACATGTATTAGATTTGTGATAGGATTCAGGATGGCCAAATTGCGACCATTTTAGGTGCAATAATCAAAATGAAGTGATTCCAGCCGAGAACCTGATCTCAGCCATGCCTAGACATATTTTTTTCAAACTTGATACATAACGGGGCACATTGATTTATCATTACACAGTAATGAAGACAATAATTACTTATCGATAAACATTGCATCACATTAAGTTTTAAGTATATCTTGTGTAAGCTGAAACTTTCAGATTTAATTATAGGATAAGTTACCATTGATGTCTGTGCTTGTTTTTGAGAGTAAATCAACTGAAAGAATTGTATTAACAATATAACATCCCAAATATGGGCACACCTGCAAGAATAACGTGATGATCTCTTGCACTCAGATACAAATGCCCAAATTTGGCTATAATATAAGAATGGGTATGTTACATTTTTATACACGAAAAGACGCTCCTATGTACATCGTTTTGGACAATTGCTTCTCTTCTCAGTAGCTAGACTACCATGGTCATTACTGTATCAAACACGAGTTCTATGCAGAGTTTTGAACAGAAGACTTTCAGTTTTTCTGCTGAATGTGTCAATTTCTGATGAAATTAGCCCCCCAACACAAGAAAAAATCAAACAATTTCGTCGGCATTTCAAGTATAAAGTTCCCAAGGCCATTACTTGTACAGCCATTTTTATTTCAAAATACTGACTGGCGACCATTTTATTTTCAATGTGTCTTTTTTTCCCCTTCAAATCACTGAAACTTATTGTTTTCTCCATACATGTAGCCTATGACAGTTTCTCTGGCAATGCTTCCACATTCCTGGAACATCAAGATTTAGAATCCAGTGGTCCAATCTCTATGATCAGTTTTAAGTTGATTCTTGCCTGCATGGGGGCAGTTATTGGAGCTTTTCTGACTTTTCCCGGTTTACGATTCGCCAAAATGTATCTGGATGCACTGAAATACAGTAAGGACACTCCAATGAAGCAGTAAGTCAATTGGATAATTTTTGCATTCTGAATTAAATGGGTTTGCAAGGAATTCAGATGACTTTGGGCCACAATAATTTTGATCAAGGTCTTGTATTTTAAATTTGATTTCCATTTGTTCCCTTCAACTCATACATATTCATACTACTAAATATGTCTCATAGTTGTCAGTAATATTTTAACTCTTTGTGTGCCAACTCTTGTCATCTTTTTCAATTAAAACCCAAATATTTTTGTTTTTTCATTTTTTCCAATTATTCTGATCAAGAACTGTTGCCAATAGGAAAAAATAGTTAAATAATTAAACATTTTGCACCAATATTTGGCAGGGAAAATTATGTTGCCCAAATTAGAAAATACAAAGAAAATTTTATGCTTGTACCTCAAGTAATACAGGCACATACATTTTTTTTTTTTTTTTGAAGGCAACCTACAAAACTTGAATTTGGAGGTTTCTACTTTGACTCAGGTTTTCTACAACATTAGTCCTGAAATTACGCTTTTGTGGCTCCCAACAGCCATATACAATACCTATTTTTTTCTTAAATACCTCTGGGCATGGTTGCTGTGCCTACAATAATTATGTTTGTTGTTTCTCTTCTCCACATTAGGGTATTCCTTCATATAAACTTCCTGATGCCTTTTCTGGTAACCTTAGCATGGATAAAACCAATATCCCGGGATTATATCCAGGACCCATCATTAGGAAAAAAACTAACTGGACACAAAGAACCAATGTAAGCCTGTCTATCTAGTTATTGTATTTTAATAAAGAATTATTACTTCTTGTGAGAAATCGAGAAAAAGTATTCTTCCAGATTAAAAAAATTACCGCCAACTTATGGAAAATTGGCTCAAATAAAAAAAAAAAAAAAAATCTAATCTGTAAAAAGGGTACTGTATTTGCTTTCATAGTAGCCAGTGCACTTATGTAAATGGCAAAGTAATTCTGTGGTCAAAGTAAGTAATACAATGATTCAGTATACAACAATCACAGTATTTGGTTTTGTATAGAACAAATACAGTATTTTTTTAAAGAACATAATCTATTTAAAAATTGTTGTTGTTTTGAATGTACTAGTGGCACACATTAATGATATTGCCATCATTTATTAACAAGACTTTTGTGCTGTTACCAAATTCCTATGTTCTCTGTAGTTCCTTGAAAGTAATCTTTCGGCATATTTTAAAGTTAGTTATTGCCTGTTTCCATAGTGATAAGTGCTACAAATACATGTAGATGATCAAAGTCTGTATAAAGTTAATTTTGGTTTCTAGACTTACTGATGAAGGATTTGAATTGAGCAGAATGGTCTTCATTCTGTTGCTATGCCTACTGAGGGTTCTTTTGTTCAATACTCATCTACAAGCGTATTTAAACATGGCTTACGAGAGAATTGAAAATATGAAGAAAGAAGCAGGAAGGATAAGTAGTATTGATCTGCAGAGAAAGGTAAAAATTGTCAATTTTTTTTTATAATTAATGCGATTTTTGTGCATATGATTTGTTTTAACTGAAACATAGACAAATGTCCGAAACTCTAACTACATGTACTACCCTCCAGCTCATCTTGAATTTTTAAGGTAATGTTCCGGCGAAGCACTCCACTATCACCTTGGAGTATTTCATTAGGACTATGTGTATGTGACAGTGCCCTCACAGTTTAGAATCAGTTTACCAACAGCCAATCATGTTGCTGCTTTCATCAAAGCGCTTGGCCGAGCTATTAAAATCCTCGGGCGGAGCTAAGTCACAAGAAGCTCCACGTTTCTATTTAAGACGCGCACCCACTCTATGGACTCTGTGTAAGCTCCTGTGGAACGCTGGTCGAAAAGCTGGTGAAAATAGCTAAAATCGAGAAAACAGCACAAACCTAACTTAAGTTTGATGTAATCCAACCAGATTTAAATATGTTGGATATATATTGTTACACTGTTCGGGGGGGAGGGGGGTCAACAATCATCCCAAAGTACTGTTTTCTGAGAGTTTTTGGTTTTTGTTTTCACCGCGAGGGTTGCCAGGTGGTGAAAATGCCCGACCCGATAATAAATGTTGCTGCGCACAGTGGAAGATGTGTTGACTTGGATGTCAAAGCAATACAGCGACGATATGCATACATCATGCAACTCACAGATATTCAGACCAAAGCTATTAAAGCTATATTTAGTGCCGAGCCTGATGTGTTCATTTTTATTTGCACTGGAAATAGTAAATTATTATGTTATTATGTTTTACCGGCCTTGCGACCATCAAGTGTGGTAATAGTGTTGTTACACTGAGTATTATAGAAGAGTAGGTGTTATACCTCAATGCTCATGTCAATGCAACATATATCGGCAGAAATGCAAAGCTTCAAGTGCTTTTTGGCAGTCATTGTAACAAAGCTTTCTATTGGTCGATAAACTTTCTATCGCGCAACACGATTATGAACAGAATTACTGCACAGTGTTGTAGAGGGAGGAATGTTCGAGCGGAACAACTCTGTTGTGGCGGACGATGCTCCAGCTGTACTAATGGGCTACAGTTAGTATAAATACTGCCCTCTAGCTGCAGTTTAGACATGTAATTACTATAAATATAGCTATCTAGCTGCATTGTGGGAGTATGGTTACTATAAATACTGCCCTCAAGCTGCATTGTGGGAGTACGGTTACTATGAATACTGCTATCTAGCTGCATTGTGGGAGTATGGTTACTATAAATACTGCCCTCTAGCTGCATTGCGGAAGTATGGTTACTATAAATACTGCTCTCTAGCTGCATTGTGGGAGAATGGTTACTATAAATACTGTCTTCTAGCTGCATTACAAGCCTACAATTACTATAAATAATGCCTTCTATCTGCATTGTGGGAGTACAGTTACTATAAATACTGCCCTCTAGCTGCATTTTGGGAGTACGGTTACTATAAATACTGCCATCTAGCTGCATTGTGGGAGTATGGTTACTATAAATACTGCCCTCTAGCTGCATTGTTGGAGTATGGTTACTATAAATACTGCCCTCTAGTTGCATTGTGGGGGTACGGTTACTATAAATACTGCCCTCTATCTACATTGTGGGAGTAAGGTTACTATAAATATTGCCCTCTAGCTGCATTGTGGGAGAATGGTTACTATAAATACTGCCCTCTAGCTGCATTAAATGCCTACAATTACTATAAATAATGCCTTCTATCTGCATTGTGGGAGTACAGTTACTATAAATACTGCCCTCTAGCTGCATTGTGGGAGTACAGTTACTATAAATACTGCCCTCTATCTACATTGTGGGAGTAAGGTTACTATAAATACTGCCCTCTAGCTGCATTGTGGGAGAATGGTTACTATAAATACTGCCCTCTAGCTGCATTAAATGCCTACAATTACTATAAATAATGCCTTCTATCTGCATTGTGGGAGTACAGTTACTATAAATACTGCCCTCTAGCTGCATTGTGAGAGAATGGTTACTATAAATACTGCCTTCTAGCTGCATTAAATGCCTACAATTACTATCAATAATGCATTCTATCTGCATTGTGGGAGTACAGTTACTATAAATACTGCCCTCTAGCTGCATTTTGGGAGTACGGTTACTATAAATACTGCCATCTAGCTGCATTGTGGGAGTATGGTTACTATAAATACTGCCCTCTAGCTGCATTGTTGGAGAATGGTTACTATAAATACTGCCTTCTAGCTGCATTAAATGCCTACAATTACTATCAATAATGCATTCTATCTGCATTGTGGGAGTACAGTTACTATAAATACTGCCCTCTAGCTGCATTGTGGGAGTGCGGTTACTATAAATATTGCCCTCTAGCTGCATTGTGGGAGTATGGTTACTATAAATACTGCCCTCTAGCTGCATTGTTGGAGTATGGTTACTATAAATACTGCCCTCTAGCTGCATTGTGGGGGTACGGTTACTATAAATACTGCCCTCTATCTACATTGTGGGAGTATGGTTACTATAAATACTGACTTCTAGCTGCATTATAAGCCTACAATTACTATAAATAATGCCATCTAGCTGCATTGTGGGAGTACGGTTACTATAAATACTGCCCTGTAT